CTGCACATTTATCAAACATTTTTACATATATGACTTCAAAAACACTGCACATTTATCAAACATTTTTACATATATGACTTCAGTTTACAGAAGACAAAACAGATATTCTAATAAGAAAAGAGCATAATTATACCTACTCACTTGACATACAGTAGCATGGAGAGGAAATAAAATACAGATGTTCAGACAGAGCAAGGAAACAGAAGAGACTAGACATAAACCCACACTTATATGATCAATTAATCTATGACAAAGAAGGCAAGAATACATAATGGAGTAAAGCCAGTCTCTTCAATAAATGGTGTTGGGCAAACTGTACAGACCCATGGAAAATAATGAAACTGGATCATTATACCAAATACAAGAATTAACTCTACATAGATTAAATACTTAAAATAAAATGCAGATGTTCAAAGATTTTCACAAAGCGGAATAAAAAAGAAATCAAAACCTTGAGACCAAACTGAATAAGAGTGTTTTCCTCTAATCAAGAACAAAATTCCCACAAGGCACTCTGGGCTGCCTCTTTCTGCTCAAATGCAAGGGCAGCAGCCATCCAAACCCCCTTCCTCCTGTTTCAGGGTCTCCGGGTGGGGGAGGGGAGCCCAGCGCAGGCTGGTCTGTGGTGGGATTCTGCCCCTTCACCTCTCTCAACACAGATGTCACCAGCCTAGCAGGGCTCACCCACAGGGTGTTGCCATGCTCATTCCTAAGGGGTGTCAGAGCCCAGAAAATAGAACAAAAATGTCGGGGAACTTCTTTTATCTTTAAAAGAATGAACAAAAGAATCTTTTTAGAGGGTTGAGAATTGAGAATGCTGGGAATATCACTTCCCTGACCCTTTTTCCATTTAATAATCAGCTGCCAAGCGCTGTGTCCCGCATGCAGCTGAGTCTTGCACTCAAACAGTTGCTGTTCTTTTGATCTTTAAAGTTGAATCATCAAACCTAAGAGAGGCCTAGGCAACTGTCCAAAAAAAGAGCAGCAAAATGGCAATGCTTTTAGAAAGGCCTGGGCAGATATAAAAGGAATTGGGGTTATCGTGAGCAGGGGGATTTACAAAGGGTCTGGTAACAGCAGAGCGTGAATTGGTGGACAGGACGGCAGGAGGGATTGACACTGTTCCCTGGACCACCTGTAACACAGACATCCATCCATGTGCTCCTGCTTCTGACTGTACCGGAAACATTTGAGAATACCCTTCCTCCAGACAAACTCGGAGGCTGACATCATCCCACGCTGCCCTGTTGGTATCAAAAGGAGCTTCACAATACCCCTTATTGATGTATCCCATTTAAGCCAGTCAGAGAAAGACAAATATCACATGTTTCACTTATATGTGGAATCTAATGATCACAATAAACTGATGAATAAAATAGAACCAGAGTCATGGAAACATGGAACAGATTGACGAATCTCAGAGGGGAGTAAAGGGGGGAGGAGATTAACCAAAGAACTTCTATGCATATATGCTCTGCCCATGAACACAAATAATAGGATGCTGAAGGCCTGGGGCAGAGCAGGGATAGGGTAGTGGGGGCAAGGGGGAGAAAGAGGGGGCATCTGTAATACTCTCAACAATAAAGATTTTAAAAATAAATAAAAACAAGAAATAATAACTAATAATCTGCATGTCAACAATAACTCCAGATTCTAGAATGTTCCAAGATGATCATCAGGCCAGGTCACCTGTGGCACCTGGGAAAATCTCAGTTCATCTGGGAGCCTTCTGCACAAGCACTGACTCAGCCTCTGCACTCCAGTGATATCAACCAGAAGCCTGATCCACTGGTCAGCTCTGCTCCCACAGACAGGACTGCTTCGGCTAGGACCATGGATCCCCATCCTGGCAGCCCCGCCTGGCTGGGCCAACTTCTAATTCCTCAGCGAGCTCATCCTCCAGGCGGACCACTGAGAAACACCTGTGGCTTGAAGAGTTATTTGCCTTCCGAAGGGTTCTGTGGTCTGACATTTTATACAGAGCTATCAGCACAGGCTGACCCACGTTCCAACTTCTCCACTTGGGATACTTGATGCTCAAGTATCCCTGAAACTGGAAAAGAACATTACTGATGGCTCCAAAGAGGAGAGACAACTCTCTCCACAGTGGAGTGCTCAACTGTCCCCAATATAACGCTCAGTAACTCTTCATCCGTAATGGCATCAATGCCCATCTATCCCAATAGGAGAGAGGGTGAGGTCTAATACTATACCAGCACAGTCCAACATCCCTACCTAGGCCCTGGCAGACTGCTCACTCAGCTCAATAACTGTTCAGCTTCTCCTCTCATATTTACAGATAGAGTTTGAAAAGCTAAAGACACATTTCCCTAACTCCCTTGCAGCAGCATTTTATACGTGATCAGGTTTCCATCCATCGGGCACACTTCATGAGTCTTAGTTGTAGAAAAAAGGGCCAAACTTGGCCTGGCTGGAGTAACTCAGTTGGTTGAACATTGTCCTATGCAATGAAAGGTTGCTGGTTCAATTCCTAGTCAGGACACATCCTGGATTGCAGGTTAGATCCCCAACTGGGGAGCAAATGGAAGGCCACTGATCAATATTTCTCTCTCATATTGATGTTTTTCTGTTTCTTCTCTCTCTCTCTCTCTCTCTCTCTCTCTCTCTCTCTCTCTCTCTCTCTCCTCTCCCCCCTTTCCTCTTGCTAAGCAAGGATTGTTTTTAAAAAGCCAAATTTGGAGAAATTGGAAATTACAACAAGAAAGGTGATAGTAATCATCTCTGGTTTTACAGTGAGGACAGTGTTGGAGTTTCCAGCGTGTGATTTTTAGCATTATGTGTGCGGAGCAGTGGGTGATTCTGCTACATCAGCCATGTGCTGTGTGATTAGACATTTCTCTTGGACCTGTTGCCTTTTGCTGCGTTACTCCTGGAAATGCAGTATTCACAGATGACTTGGAGATTCTGTGAGCTGTGTAACACTCTTGACTAAACCTCTTCTACTTAAACTAGCTGGAGTAGATCTTCTGCAAAAAATCCCTGGCAGATACAGGGTTTTCTCAATTGACAATCTTAATACTCTCAATCTCATTTCTTAAGAAATTAAGATCTCAAGTGTCCAACACAATCAATTATTTCACTAATTTATCCTGGTTAGATCCTGGCAGTGATTAATCAAGCTCTAGTTACAACCTTTCAGTCAATCAATGAGCTTCCCCAGGGTAATCCTGTCCTATTGCCAGGAAAGCTGTATTCCAATTGTGCATCTCTCAGTTCTCGTGTCTACATAAGAAGATCAAGACTCTCCTCTTCTGGGTATAGAATGCAAATGTGGAGGACTGAAAGTTTCCTCAAATTAAGTGGATTCCAACACAAGGGGATCTTTAGGTAAGGCTTTCCAACTTGATATCTAGTATCACTGAAGTTGTGGACTAAAGCTAGAGTTAGTGTTTGCACAATATTGACAGCAACAGGAAGGAACAATTCTATTCCTCAAGAGGCAATGCTGTTAGACTGGTGTGTGATGAATTTTAAGGCAATTTTTAATCAATGCACGTGGGATATGTAATAATGTCCCAGTTCAGATGGCAATTCTAGGTATTAAGCACCTCTCTCCCCAAGCAAGTCTTTTAATCTTTTAATCAAGTCACCATGGTATTATTATTAGTAATCAAATCACAACAATATCTCCAGTCTTCCCTCGATTTAATGTTGGGTAGTTACAGCCTTACCAACATCTGTATGATCCATTCTAAAAATTTAAAGCATATGTTTTCATACTGTGAATCATGTAGTTTGCATATTAATCCACTACCATTTCCCCAAACAATAGAGGCCAACCACAAATGCCTCTCAAACAAACAAACAACAACAACAAAAAAAAGCCCAAGCAAATTAAACAGAACCTGATCATGTGTTTATCGAAGTGTTTATCAATGAGAAGGATAATAATGGGGAAAAAGAGAATTTCTTGTTATAAGCTGAGTGATATGAAATAATTACTTATCAATATACTAAGTTTCCGCAAACACATACCCTATGCTGTTTATTTTAGAAAATCTGACACCTAGGAAAGGCCCCTTTACTATAATTTCCATTTGAAAAAATGCAGAAAATATCAAAGGAGAATAAAAACCTGAACTGATTCTTCTGCTAACCAACAAGATACACCTGGATGAATCACTGATTTTCTCTGTCCCCATCTGTTATATGAGAGAAACATCAGATGACAGGCAAGGTCCCCAGATGCTCTACTGTTTAATGATTCTAGACATAGAAAATTATCTGATATGGACACAGTTCCATGGTTTATATTACTCAGAGACAGCACATTGTTTAAAAAGGCAACAGGTCTTTGATGTCAGTCTGACTTTGATTTTGAATCCTGGTTCCACCACTTACAAACTGTGGAACCTCAGGGAAGCTGCCTGTGCTTTTGCATATATAGAGTAGGATAAATAAAATGTATGGCAGGGAGTTGCTTCAAAGCCCAAATGAAATGATGAGGTGTGCCTATCATAGTGCCCCATTCAAAATTAGTGGGGTCCCTACGTCCCTCTATTCTTTTTGGGTACTGAGTTAAAATAGAAAAGAGCATTCTTTTTTGAACAAAGAAAGAAATAATTATAACTGTATAACTTTGAGAAAAGTTTAGTTACATGAACTCTTCTATCAGTATGCTGGATTTAGTGTGTGAAACCTTTTTCCCTTTAGCATTTATTTATTATACAAATACTAGAGGCCTGGTGCACAAATTTCTGCACTGGTGTGGTTCAGCCGGCCCTGTCCTGATGGGGGCCACCAGGGGATGCCTGGCTGGGGCGAGGGGCCAGGGGTGGTTTGCTGGCCAGCCCCACCCCGATCAGGGTGGGGGTGCCCTCTTGGGGGCAGGGCTGGCTGGGGCGAGGGGCCACGGGCATTTCGGTTGTTCTGCCGTTTGGTCGATTTGCATATTACCCTTTTATTATATCAGATTTATTCAGCCCAATGTGCTACTCCTTGTTCTAGGCAAAAAGGGATACAGTAAAGAGCAAAATAGATCAGGTCCCTGTCTTCCTGAGAGCTTTATTCTGAGGGATGTCTTCCAGAATAGTTTTAGAAATAATGTTGTAGAAAATGTCACCTTTGTTTGGGAGGTCATATGGCTTATCAGGATTGAGCATTACAAAGCTTACCTTCTCCTTTTCAAAGGAGGTGAGCTTATACCCATACCTGACTTAGGTAAGAAATCAGCAGAAGATAAAATGAGTTTAGATTCAGCCAAATCTTGGCTCTGTCATTTGCTAGAGATCTACCCCTGGGCAAACAAATTAACCAGTGCGCCTCATTTTCCTTCAAAAGTACATCTACTTGCAGAGGAATATATGGGACTTTAAGAAATAACATATGTCAAACACCCAGGTCAAGACATGCCAGTGGAACAAAACAATACAAATGATAATGTAGATGTCATTTTATTATTATTTGATTTTTCATTTCTCTCTAAAGTTAGAGACTCACAAAGAGAAAGCTGTAATATCCATTCATGGTTATTTCGGAAAAATGGTACAGAAATATACACAACCCACACATGTCACTAATTCCATTTTACTTAAACTAGGAAACATATGTCATAGAAAATGTGTATGAGTCTCTCTCGTTAAGAAAATCTTCTATCTGACACATCTCCCTAGCTCAGCTCCTATGATAAGATTTTTCTTTGTGCAGATTGCCTGGTGCCAAAACAACATTCACAAAACCCTCCAAGTTGAGAGAGAAAGGACTAATTAGTTTTAACAAAGATATGTTATGCACAAAGTGAAGGCTGCATTTTAATGACCAACAAAATGCATAACTGGCTGTGAAATTCAGAATTCACTCAGGATAATACCTTGAATTATGTACCTTGATTTTTGATATATGAAAAATTACAGCATGTCTACCCACTTGAAATATTTTTACCACCATTTTTCAGGTTGAGAGCCTGAACCAAACTGTTAACCTTCATTGCATATGGAAGAAGGTAAAAAAGTGAATTATCTACCAGTCCAATTAAGAAAGGAAGGGAGAAGGAGAGAGAGAAACACATCCATTGGCTGCCTCCTGCACATCCCCTCTGGGGATGGAGCCACAACCCAGGCCTGTGACCTGACTAGGAATAGAACCAGCAACCTTAGGGTGCACCTGACAATGCCCAACCAACAGAGCTACACCTGCCAGGGTCTGAGGGTATTTTTTAAATCATATGCCAGTTTGATATTTACTTTATCCAGCGTGAAAGCAGGGTCTGACTTTCTGGGAATGAATAGAAAGATAGCTCTAAATAATTTAAAAATTCCATGATAAAAATAGTGAGCTAATCAAGCCAAAAAAAAAGAAAACAAAGGCTCTGAAAGAAGTATAAGAAATACAGAACTTATCAAAGTACGCGGTGAAAAGGGAAAACATAAAATAATTTAGCTGATATTGTGACAACTATGTATGTTAGATAATCTAGGAAGGACTTGATTTTAAATATCCCGCCTCAGGACCTTTAGGAGTTTGTTCATACTTGTCAGGATGCAGTCCCAATTTAGGGTTTGGATTATACAGTCACCATGCAGCAACTGTCTTAATTGGCCCGTTTTGCCAGACTGTTTATTTGTGCTAGGAGACTAGTCCCCTCACCTGTGCAGAGGACCTCAATCGCCTGCTGAGAAGTACTTGTATGGAACGTCATACAGGGGGCTTTTTCAATTCCTTTCTTAAGGTAATTCACCTGAAGAGCCTGCCTGAGTCCATGGATCCATTCACATTAAAACTGTGGTCAAAGAGCAGGGCCTACCTTGAGGCTTGGGCTTGGTCAGTTTGCCGCAGGGCTTGGAGATGGTGACGGTCTTCTGGCAGTCAGCATTGTGGAGGGCTCGCTTCAGACTCCCAGTTCTGGTCTTCAAGGCGGTATTCAGGTCACATTCTCCCCAGGCCTGGAATTGGTATTTGCACTCCGCTAAAGGTAAGGTAGGGCAAAGAGAAACCTTTGAAAGATCCTATTATAGTGCCATGAAAATAAACACACTTTAGTTTTTAACTCTTTGTAGTGAGGTAGTTACTGTTGTAAGAAATAAGAGAGATCCCATATACCCTCAGTTGTGATGTCTTCTATAGCGGTAGTCCAATGGCACAACCAGGAAACTGACATGGAAACGTTCCACAGAACTTATTCATGTTTCCCAGTTTTACATGCATTCATTTGGGTATGTGTGGGGGGAGGGGCGCGGGGGGGGGGGTGGAGATTTAGTTCTGTGCAACTCTATCACATGCATAGATACAAGTGAACACCACCACCATTTATACACAAACCAGTTCCAATGCAAGGGTCCCTTGGGCTGTCCTTCTATAGTCAGAGGCCATCCAACTTTCTCCCCTCCCATCTCTCTAGCCTCTGGCAACCACTATTCTGTTCTCCATCATTATACTTATTTCATCTTAATTTTGTCATCCATCCATGTAAATGGAATCAAGTACTGTGTAACCTATTGAGACTGGTTTTTTTTTTTCATTCAGCATCATTTCTTGGAGGTCCATCCAAGTTGTGTGTATCAATAGCCTCTCCTTTTCATTGCTTAGTAATATTCCATGGTACACAGGGTGGGCAAAAGTAGGTTTACAGTTGTTCATATGGAAAAAATAATACACTAATTAATAAATAATAATACAAGAATTGCCCTAACAGGTTTGGCTCAGTGGATAGAGCATCGCCCTGCAGACTGAAGGGTCCCAGGTTCGATTGTGGTCAAGGGCATGTACCTTGGTTCGGGCACATCCCCAGTGGGGGGTGTGCAGGAGGCAGCTTATCAATGTTTTTCTCTCATCGATGTTTCTAACTCTCTATCCCTCTCCCTTCCTCTCTGTAAAAAAATCAATAAAATATATATGTTTTAAAAAGAATAAACTATGTTACTCATACAACTGTAAACCTACTTTTGCCACATGCTGTTATGTACCACAATTTGTTTAACCATTCACCAGCTGAAAGACATCTGGGTGGTTTCCAGCTTTTGACTATTACAAACAAAGCTGCCATATACATACACATATAGATTTTATGGAAACATAGGTTTTCACTTCTCTAGGATCAATGCTTAAGGTAAAGCCACTGCACTGCATGGTAAACACATGTTTAGTTTTGTAAGAAATTGCCATATTCTTTTCCAATATGGCTGTACCATTTTACATTCCCATTAGTGATGTATAGTGACCTAGTTCTTCCACATCCTCTCTAGCATTTGGTGTTATTTTTTATCTTAGCCACTCTGATAGGTGAGGGGGTATAGTGATATCTCATTAGTTTTCATTTTCATTTCCCTACTGGGGAAACATGTTGAACATCTTTGCAGGTGTTGCCACCTATGTCCTCTTTGGTATAATGTTTGTTCATATCTTTTGCTCACTTTATAACTGAATTGTTAGTTTTGAGAGTTCATTCTCTATAATAATAAAAGTGTAATATGCTAATTAGACTGGATGTCCTTCCGGACGACCTTCCGGACAAAAGCCAGGGCTGTGAGGGACACCCGGGTTCCAGGTGTCTGCAGGTGGCTGGACAGAAGTCCAGGTCCCAGGTGCTGGTGGCCGGAGGGAAGCCTGGGTCCCGGGTGCCAGAGGGAAGCCGGTGCCAGCAGCGGGGGAAGGAAGGCCTACTCTTGCACGAATTTCATGCATTGGGCCTTTAGAATATTCTACATACAAGTCCTCTAATACACACTTTTAAAAACATTTTGTAGGTAAGCCTGTATGGTACCCACATATAATTTATGAACAAATGTATCTGAATTTTACCAGGCTTTTATAGAACTTATATACATCCATAAAAGTACCCCAAATGTTATAGAAAATGAAAAAGATATTGTTCTTCTTCCCTGGCCTATAAGCCAGAGCACATTTCTGTAGAACAGTGAGAATATCTGGGACATCATGCTTCACCATAGCTAACAAAGATAAAAATTCAAGAATATGAAAAAAAGTATACACACAGGTAATTGGGGTGTGCAGTAGTGGGTTTAAAGTTAGATGTGTTGCAAGATTCCTTCTCAGACAGGTAGATAAGGCCAGTGAGACTGGCAATAGTCGGTGGGAAAAAATCCACGAGAAATGGCTACCATCAGCCCTGCTGGATTCAATAGGTAAGTCTATGAACCAGTGTGGAGGGTGGGGAAAGATCAAAAGAGAGAGAGGGCTTGAAAGTAACAGAAAGAGATCAGGAGAAGGGGGAGAATAAATAAGAAAAGAGAAAATAAAGACACAAGGAACTTAGAAGAAGAATAGAAAGGAAAGAGAGAAAGATCAACGAACACTATTAGGAGGAACCAAGAGTACATTTTTGTCCCTATTGGTAAGGCGGTAGTACTTAATAAGGGACTATTTAACATTAGGCAATATCTGGAGACATTTCAGTTGTCATAGTTTGCGGAGGTGGGCAGTGCTAACAGAAACCAGTGGGTAGAAGCCAGAGATGGTGCTAGATATCTTACAATGCACAGAACCGACCCCCACAGCAAAAACTATCATGTCCAAAATGCTAGTTAGTAGTGCTGAGGTTGAGAAACTCGGGGGTTAGGCAAAATGTCTTGCTTATTTTGTATCTGATAAAATAAATTTATTTAAAATAAATGGGAGTCAACCTCAAAAAGATATTTGGTGAAAGAATGGAAGAGTTATGTCAGACTGGAAGATTCACCCAGTAGGACCACAGGGATGGGACTCACCTCCAAACTGCTTCTTCCAGTTGCAGGGGATCTTACATCTCTGGGTCTTCATGGTTTGTTTGCACTCAGCTCCACTGCGGGTGCCCTCCCGGGTGCCCAGCCCACAGTCTCCGCTGGTGGGCACACACACACTCCACTGCCATTCTCCACAGTCAGACTTCTTCACTTTCTTTTCTGGAAGGAAGGAGACATAATCAACACCAGAAAGTTCTTTAACTCCAAGTAAAACTAAGTTCACTCCTGAGCGCCTTCATTACAGGGTCTGTGCTATTTACCTCTATCTTCCGTGTCCAGTACAGAGTGGGGACCTGAGAAGGGTTAGCAGAATGATTGAATCAATGAATGACCAAGACCAGGGAGAAAGAAAACTGCAGAAAGGAGCTAGAACTTATATTACTTTAACTCTTACTATGTGCCAGGAGCTGTGCTAAGTGATTTACTGACACCTCTTAGAAGAAGACATTTCTATGAAAGAGAAGATGGTCAAAAACAGTTAAACCTAACAAGTGAGAAAACATCCTATTAGAAGCAACAGTTGCCAGATTAGCTTTTTCAATGCAAGTCATTGTTCATTTCTCTGTTTTATAGATAGAATAGCGTAATATACATGTGGTGGAAACTGACTCCCAGCTCCGCAGACTACTCATTGAGAGTGACGTGGAAAGGGTGCGTTATCTTCTCTGAGCCTCAGTTTCCTTCTTTAGACATCAAACGAAAACTCCTTGAAGGACTCTTTTTGGAGAGAGAGGCAACATAAGTAAAACACCTGATTCCTGGTCAATGGTCTGTACATAATAGCTACTAATATGATAATTATGTTAATGATCATCACCTATATTTCAGGACTTTACAGTGGTGGGGGGATGATAAGGGATGTCGCTTAGGTTCCTCAAAATATTAGGGAGGAAAGGAGGGGAAGGGGGGAGGTAGGAAGGGAGAAAGAGGGAAAGGAAGAAAAGGAGAGAAGGAAAGGAGGAGTGAGAGGAAAGGAGGAGTGAGAGGAGGGAGTGGGGAAGGAAGAGAGGAAGGACAAAAATCAGGTAATGGGATTAGAAGGACGTTAATCAGTGAAGAGCCATGCTTTCATAACCCTACTGCTTACCTGGTTTCTCTTTCTTCCCTGCTTCAGCAGTGTCCACAGCTGCCAAAATGAAAATGAATGCCAAGAAGGCAGCTGCAAATTTTCGACGCTGCTGCAGGTACTGTTGGGACTGCATTCTAGGAATAAACAGAGAAACAGAAGAAGGTGGTATCAGCCTAAGTCAGAGAGGAAGGCTCCTGGGACTCCTTGATGGAAGGCTCCCTTGCCATTTCTGGAATATTCAATTTGAAAGATTTGTATCAATTACCTTCTGTACCTTCTGTCTTGTCTCTCCACCAAAATAAGTTCTCTTTTGCAATCAGTCATGACAAAATCCAACAGTTTGTGTAAGACTTTACACACAGCCATTTGCTAAGTTTGACCCAAGAAAGACAGAGCAAAGGAATGTTGATGGCATGTGTTTGAGCAGACTCCTACAGTAAGTCTTGCTGACAGGGAGTGATGCTTGGTAATGTCCATAATATAGTCATCTTCATAACTCTTGACAATTCCTAGAAATAACCATGATGTTGAAGTCGCCATGGATAATTTGAATGGACACAATGAGTAGATTATCTGTGCAAAATTATGTTTGCTGGTATCTTTAGATGTATCAGTATTGACCAATATTGCTGACGTTTTTACCATTTTCCACGATCATGATTCTCTTATTATCATTAGTGTTCCATTATTCATTGGTCCACCAAAGATGGAAACACAAAACAGAAGTAGGGATAGCACACCTATATATATATACCAAACGCACAAAACACATGTGCTAAAATACCTCTAAATTATAGGATAATGAAGAGTTCACACTCACTCATAATTTGAAATTCTCTACATTTGATATGAATAAAAATCCAGAATAATATTAGAAAACTCCCTTAGAATTTGAAGTCACTTGTGACAGCTGAGTGTCAATATGGTCACCTGGCCCAAACAAGCTTGAGAAATCTCTGTCCAAGCCCCAGGACAACCCACTCCCCAATGGCTACACCGAGGCATTGATTGCAGCAACTCACCTATTTCTAGTTTTACATGGCTAAACTTTTATTTTTTAATTACTTTCCAAAAGCTTTCTTGTAAAAAGTTCAGTTCACTTAATTTCAAGGAGAAAAATCCTACATGAAATTATGTTTGAGTAACAGAACGGTCTATTAAGAAGTTACCATAACTGTAGCGTGAGGAAGAAAGGAGAGATACAAATTGGGATGAGGGTTGGAGAGTTAGTAGAGTGGAAATGCACCCTACCTGGTTTTGATACTAATTTATAACAATCCAGAAATTAAGAAGTGGGTAAATGTCAGCTTTAGAAGTTCTAAGGAGAAATGCACACAAGTGCATGTGTATAGTGAGCCACCTGTGTAAAATATGTGATCAGAAACATGTTTGAGTTGGAGAATATCTTTCTTCTTCTCAACCTCTTCTCCTTTCCTTATGTTTTGTCAACATTCTGCTTAAGTCTATATTTTGAGAGCTTAGATTTTTCTGGGTAGATAAAACGAATAAAGATTATTTGAAAGAAGAAAATAAGGGGGTTTAGAAAAGAGATGATTAAAATTATCCAAAAAATCCCAGTATGCCCAAACAATACCCAATTAACATGCTGGTCCCTTGCTGTTGTGGTAAATACTTGAGTAATTAGTACATGTGTGGATAATAGGTCCCCCCTTGTGGGTGATATTTGCATAGTTGATTATTGGTCTTTAGCATCAAGTAAAAGCAAAATCTCTCCCTGCTTACAGCCTCTATATACCTAGTTTTATATTTGTAACCCTGCCTGCTCTCCAACAGAGAAGAGGCAAGAGAAATGATCTTAAGAAAGTGGTCAGGATCATGACTTACTTTTCAAACTGAGAGACATAAAACACTGGAAGAAGAATGCTTGTTAAGTTGGCTCAGTTCTTTTGAATGATTTACTTATTTTTCACCCTCTCCTACTGCCAGCTTTGTTGTATTTACCCTGGCAGATTTAATGTCATAGGGTTTAATGGTTAAGTTGAAGATTATCATTGATGGGGGCTGTTACCTGGAAATTATTATTGAGAAATCTCCATCACTAATAAGTCTGAAGCTCAACCATGAAAGGAAAAATAAAGAAACCAATTAAGAGGAAGTGTTAATTTATTGTCTCTTCTCTGGAAAAATAGCTTATTAGAAGGAAAAGAAGCTCCCTTTTCTTTAACATGTTGACAGGATCTAGGAGTTTTAAAGATGATTAACATCTGGTGTAAACAGAATCTGTCCCATCGTGATCTCTGTGGAAGGGCTAGCATGGGATTTGGAAGCAGAAGCTTTGGCTCAGACTTTAGCTCCTCCATCTAATTTTTAGAATGTCCATGGGCAAATCACCACCACTTGAACCTCTATTTTGACTTCTGCTATCTGGTCTGTTAAGATGTTTCAGATCTTTCTGCACATTTCCTATCCCAGACCTAAAATCAACCATTCTTTCAAAAAGCCTTGTTTGTTTTCATGGTAAATAAATTCTGGGCACTAGGGATGCTCAACATTACTAAGTCGGTCTTTAGTTCCAGGCTTTTTCCTTTTCTGAAAGGACAAAGGCAACGTTAAAAATAAATAACATAAAATTAATCATTTGATTTGTCCCACATTACATAAACAGTAGTCTCAGAATAACAATATTACTGCTAAAACCACCAATTATCAATCCTAAAAGCAGTGAGAATTACTTTTGTTACACTATCTCCTTTAGTTCTCACCTTTAGGATTGCTCCATATCTATGTCATCAGATGTTTTAGTCAATACACACTATGCCATCTCCCTTTCAATTCTCATTAATTTTCATTATAAAAGCAGATATATTCTTAGTGTTGACCAAAAGTCCTGTGCTGTCTCTCTAGGCCAGGGGTCCTCAAACTACGGCCCGCGGGCCACGTGCGGCCCGCCGAAAACATTTATCCGGCCCGCCGGGTGTTTTTGCCGCCTCTGTGTGCATAGGAATTTGTTTATAGTTTTTTTTAAAACTATAGTCCGGCCCTCCAATGGTCTGAGGGACAGTGAACTGGCTCCCTGTTTAAAAAGTTTGAGGACCCCTGCTAGGCGTTCTGGTGGTCTGAAAGGATTCTCTGGTAGAATTTTTAGAAAAACTTTTGGAAACCTATTACTTGAGTTCTTGAATGTCAACAGTTTATCTAGCTAGCCCTTCTGTCCTTGAGGCTAAGTTTTGCTGAATGTAACATCTTTGTCTCACAGCTTCTTTGTTTAAGTATCCAAAATACGTATGTTCCTCCCTTTTCTTTCACTACAAAGTGTTACTATTAAGAAGTCTAACAATAATCTAATTTTCTGTTCCTTATGTATTATTTTTGCTGAGATAGGTTAACAAGTGCTAAGGATCTTTTTTCTTTAAGGTGCGATAATTTTCTAACATATGACTTGGTATTGTTCATCTTGGGTCAATAGTCTCAGACAATGAAGGACTCTTTTAACATGCAGCTTTAGGTTATATTATCTTATTTTATATGAATGAGAACTTTTAGTATTAGTTCTATAACCTTTCCTTGGCTTTCTTCTTCAGGATCTCATATTATTTGTGAGTTGATTCTTCTTTGCCTGTTTTTAATATTTGTAAATTTATCAAAATGCTTTTAATCTGTTATTTTAAAAAGTTAAATATTCCTTGCTTTTATCTTCTAATTATCTTAAGGTATTACTTGTGTTTATTCAATCTTGTGTTCCTTCTAGTTCCGTGGTTGGCAAACTGCGGCTCGCGAGCCACATGCGGCTCTTTGGCCCCTTGAGTGTGGCTCTTCCTAAGCCTTAGGAGTACCCTAATTAAGTTAATAACAATGTACCTACCTATATAGTTTAAGTTTAAAAAATTTGGCTCTCAAAAGAAATTTCAATCGTTGTACTGTTGATATTTGGCTCTGTTGACTAATGAGTTTGCCGACCACTGAATCTAGTTTAATATTCATTTATAAAATATTTTTCTTTCTATTTATAATTTTCACTTGAATTCTATCACCTCATTCCTGCACTTTTCTAATTATAATTCACGAGGTTCTTTTACATCTTGTATCACCCTTGTTTTCTAAATAATTTGAAGTAGTATATTACAGGCTTTTGTTTTTGTTTCTTTCACTGCCTTTAGGTATATTATTCTACTTTTTATTTTCCCTTTTAAATAGTTACTTTACAAGATATTTGACCTCAATACATTTCTCTACAGCATATTTACAGCTGTTTTAGCTTCACAAAATTCCCTTTTCTGTTCTTTCCATATCGTGGTAAAATGTGACACTATGTTTCTGAGATTCCCTGGTTTTATTTTCCTGTCCCTATTTTAGATGGATCTTCTCTCTCTTTTGTTTCTATTGTTGTTCTCCTAATCAATTTTGATTTTATTACCAGCCATTTATCCTCACTATGGGTTCCTGTCCTGAATGAGTCATGATGGAGTCAGCTTCTAGTCTCCGATTGCCTCACCATGATTTACGGTGACGTGTATGGGCTGTTTTAAGGTTTTCCCACTGTCGGAGCGGTCAGATGCTCTGCTGCCTCCCTCTGCCTTCTTTTGTTCAGACACCAATAGCACAGGGGTCTGGTTGTAGTGGTTTGCTCCCACCCTCTTTTATTCTGAGGTTTGTAGGAAAGAATCTGTCTTGAGTTTTGCTTTTAAACCTTGTCCTTGGGTTTTAGTTTTGCTGTCTTTTGGTAGCTGCCCCATCTGTTTCTGTTTTGTTTTGTTAATGATTAACCATCTTTTAAAAATTTTTCAACTACAGTTTACATTCAATATTATTTTGTGTTAGTTTCAGATGGATAGCATAGTGGTTAGACAATCATTAACTTTACAAACAAACCAAACTGAAACAAACTCATAGATACAGAGGTCAGACTGAAGGTTGCCAGAGGGTAGGGAGCTGGGGAGCTGGGTGATAAAGGTGAGGAGACTGAGAAGTACAGACTGGCAGTTACAACATAGTCATGGGAATGTAAAGTACAGCATAGGGAATATAGCTCATAATATTGTGGTAATTATGTGTGGTGCCAGGTGGGTACTAAAAATATCAGGGGAAACACTTTGTAAAGTATATGATTGTCTAATCCATCTGTTTCTATGTGAGGATTCAGGAAGATTCCAAAGGTATCCTGACACTTTCTTCC